CATTACACTACATTCATTACATTACACTACATTACACTACATTACATTCATTGCATTCATAGTCGTCCACAAAACTCAGCCATTGTTGATTTGGCGTGGGCGCGGATTGCGTTGACCTGCCGGCAAGCTAGAATCCGGCAAACATGTTCTACCTTTTTGAAGGCATTCAGCATGAGCTTGATGAAATGGAAGACCACTGTCAGGTGGTCCATTTGGCAGCGCCGTTTGCTCTTACGTATCCAGCTCTGACTTTGAGCCAGCAGCCAGGTGGATTCAGTTTTGACGGACTGGCTGCCAGCGCCCCTTGCAAAAGCAATGCCCCCACAACTTGCCTCTTGCCGTACGTGAAGAGCAATCTAATTTGACTCAAAACGTATAACTGTTTAGTTCGACTGCTGGGCAGGGTAGTGCCAAAGACTCATGTCAACAAGTCAGCACACAAGGCGTAGTTGCTCAAGGCTCCCCACCCCAAACAAGGCTGATCTTCCCGAAGAAGTCACGGGCTTCAACCCATGTGAAGCCTGGACAAAGAATAGAAACATGCTCAGAGTGAGAATCCGAAAAACGTCGGCGTCTGCTAAATTGTTTGTTGATCAGTTTGTGATAATGCCCAACCCAAATGTGCTGAAGGCTGAGTTTGAACAATGACAACTCGCAAATTCATGCAAGATTTGCATTACAGTATTTACTTATCGTGATTCAGCCTTTGTGGACCTTGTGCCAATGGTGCCAAGAATACAGTGTCCAAATGCCTCCAGTGATAGAGGCATACAAGGTGTGCATCGATAGCTCAAGACCTCCAAACCGCTCAGGAAAGAAACCTGGCAACGAGTCGGGCGAGGACTCAAGCTGCAGTGTGGCAGAAGGATTTACGCAGATTCCGCCGTATCAGGACAGCTGCAGCTTGCTCGCCCTGGCCTAGCATCTCTTCAATGTGCTTCTGCGAAAGATTTGTATTTTCTGGATTCGAGAGGAACTCGGTGGTGATGTCGGTGAATATCAGCCCAAACCTTAGCCCGGCCCAGTCACCAATGAGAATGATTCTGAAAGAACCTGACTCAGTTGTGGCTTCACACACGAGGTTTTGCTCGAGCCACGTGTGGCGAAAAATGATTTGCATGGCAAGAAACACAAAGATGATGAGCATCAGGAGCACTGCTGACCATGCCTTGGTGCATAGTGAAGACTCCGGAATTTGCTCGTCTCAAACAAACCGCGGAGGTCTAGCACTTATATATATATATATATAAGTGCAAAACTTCCAGACCATTTGAACGATCGACTGTGTCTCTCTTCCACTCGG